CTCTCTCTCTCTCTCTCTCTCTCTCTCTCTCTCTCTCTCTCTCTCTCTCTCTCTCTCTCTCTCTCTCTCTCTCTCTCTCCCCTCTCCCTCCACTTCCCCCCCCCCCCCCCCCCCCCCCCCTCTCCTCCCTCCAAGGAATCGTCTTTGCCGCGCGGAGAGAAGGTGGGCGGAGGAGAGGTGGGCAGAGGCGGACAGGAGGTCGGCGGAGGCCGAGGGGAGGTTGGAGCGCACAGCAGGATGTGCAGCAGATGGCGGGAGGAGGCGGACGCGACGTTCGCGGAGGGCAAGGGGAGATGGGAGATCGCAATGGCAGAAGGGAGGTGGGTGGAGGCTGACAGGAGGTCATCGGAGGCCAAGGGGAGGTGGGCGCGCACTGTTAAAAAAGAAAAAAAAAAGAAAAACGAGCGGGCAACGGGATGTCCAGCGGGATGGCAGATGCACGGGCAGAGGAATGAAGCCCAGAGCAGAGGTGACCGGAGGTGGAGGAGAAGTGGCAGAGGCGGAAAGGAAAGAGAGAGAGGACATGGCGGGAGGAGGCGGATGGGAGGTGGGCGGAGGCTGAGGGGAGATTGGTGATCCCAATGGCGGGAGGGAGGTGGGCAGAGGCGGACAGATGGTCAGCGCTGGCCGAGAGGAGGTGGGCGCACCCCGTTTTTTTTCTGTTTTTCTTTTTAAAGGCGGGCAGAGGGATTGCGGATGTGCGGGCAGCGGAACAGAGGCCAGAGCGGAGGTGTTACATACTGATGCCACACGGGTCCCTTTCGGACCCGACCACTAGACCAAGGGGTACTTAGGCCGGCCCAGCCAAAGGCCAGACCTTTCTCCCGGTAGGCCGCATGAGGCCACCGGATGGTTTTCCTGCAGCAGACCAGGTACAGGCCCAAACGACATTACCGTTGGGCCTGGCGGCGCTCTTGAGGCTGCCGCCCGCCGGTCTGTCGTCAATCTTGACGATTCAGATCACGGCGCGCTGGGGCAGCATTGAGGCCGACTGGCCGCCGGACGGTACTTAGGCCGGTCCAGAGGCCTTTCCAGCAGGTTGGAAGGCAGTACGGCAAGAGGCACCAAGCAGTGGTTGGAGCTGCAGCGCTAAGTTTAGCGCACTGCAGCAAGGGACGCGAGGAGGGAGACTTACCTAGAGTACTGTGAGCGACATAGCTCCCAGCGGCTAGGCCCAGCTCCCGCATCAGCCAAGGCGCCATCTTGCAGATGCAGGTTAGGCCTGAGGCTACTCGCCATCTCCCCTGACCCTCTGCCTCCCCTTTCAGTCTTCTTCTTCTTCCTCAGACTTCTTCTTCTTCTTCTTCCTCAGACATCTTCTTCTCCTTCCTCTTCAGACTTCAGACTTCTTCTTCTTCTTCTTCTTCTTCTTCTTCTTCTTCTTCTTCAGACTGGAGACGATCGTTACGAGTTGGACAGGGATCAGTGGTTGGACTTCGGTGGTAGGAGGCTGCGATACTTACTGGATTCATTGGAGATAGTTGGGAGTGATACCTGGCGGCATCACAGATCGGGCATCGGTTACATTAGGATTCTGTACCTCCGACATGGGTGACTTATGTCTACGACATTCTGATTTTGTTCGGTGACATTTTGGGCTACCATATCGGTGACTTTCTGGATTCTACCTCGGTGAGATCTGGCGCTGCCCATATCTCCCACCTCCATCGTCTCTCCTCCCACCATTCATCTGTGTATGGTTGTACGGGGCCTGAAGCATCGTCTATGCATAGCTTCAGACCCCACCATCTCACGATTG